ACACCATCATGGGGAAGGCTGATATGGGCAGAAAGAGCAAGATTTGGACAGTGTGACTGTGGCACTCATACCGTATCTTAAGTATGTTGAATTTGCTGCTTTCTTTCCACTTGCTTATCACTGTATGTTTTAAATTTTTTTTTAGTAAATTGTGTGAATAGAGCATTTTAATTTGGTCTGTGAGCCCTCTGGGTTAGCTTGCTTGGTAATGTGTTCAGCAGCTACCCTTACATCAAGATAATTTTCCACTTGGCAGTACTCTTCACTTTGAACTTCAGTGATCCTCTCTCACAGTCTGAGATTTTAAGCAAATGCATCTGATCATAACTATCTGGCTGAGGGCTAATAACAAGCTATGAAGGAAGTGTTAAGTTATGGTGATTCTATGGCAATCATAAGCACTTTGTCCACAATGAAGGAATTAAGAGGACCAGTCTCTCGCCTCTGGAATGGGCCCTTCATAAGCAAACCCAGGAACACTGAGCAGATCCCAGTTTACCTGGGAAGAAGAGTAGGAGGTTGTCTATGTCAGCTGTCCTAGTTACATTCTCTCCTTGCTCAAAGCTGAAGTCAGAGGTACTTAGTGGCTCTAATAGTGACCTTTAAATAGTTTTGCTTATATATTCCCATGCATATTTTAAGTTGACATTTAAAATTTCCCATTATAAGCTTAAATAGTTGGAAAAGATGTAATTTTTGTTGTACTATGAATGCTGACATTTTAAAATTTAAAATTTAAACATTTTAAAATAAAACCATTACATTAGTCTTTTAAACATATCCAATAATATATAAGTTCCATATGGTTTTTAAGAAACATTTTAAGAACATTTTCAAACACAACAGGAAAAATAGTAGACTCCCATGTATTCTTTATCCAATATAAACAGCCATTAACATCTGCCATTCTTATCTATACTTTCCTTCACTTTTCTTCCTACAGTATTTTAGAGCAAACCTGAATAATACTTTATTTAAAAACAGTTTGGTTTGTATCTCTAACAGATATTTATTATAACAATACCTTTTATCCATATCCAATAAAATAATTAACCTTAATACCAATAGTATCCAGTTTGTGTTCAGATATCACCAGTTGCCTCAAAAATGTCTGTCTTATTAAAGTTGGTTTGTTCAAATCAGTATCTAAACAAGGTTTATGCATTGCCTTTGGCTGATACAATTCCTAAGTCTCTTTTCTTTTGTAACATTTTTCCCCTCCTCTTATTCTCTGTGCGATATCATTTAACATGTCTCTCTACCCTCCTCTATTTCTCACAAAGTAGATGTTAGATCTAAAAACTTGATTTCATTCAGTGTTTGTAGCATGAATGAATGCTTTATAGATTTTCCTGTATTTATAATCTCATTGAACTCACATAAGGAGAAACAATTTCTGGTTGTTTTACTTTAATGACATATTAATATGTTTCAGTGGCATAGGTGATATCAGTCAGATTCATCTATTATAAATTTCCCATCACTCTTTATCTAATAATGACAAACATTATCTGGACCCACTATTTCATTATGGTTTGCAATATGATGATTTGCTAATTCTATTATTCCATCTACATGTATTAACTATTGAAGAAGAATTTTCTCTCATCATCTAGTTGGTTATCCAGAATTATAGCCCATTGTAGGAAATCCCATGTATTGCAGCCTGCCAGGCTCTTCTGTCCATGGAATTCTCCACGCAAGAATACTGGAGTGGGTAGCTGCTGTTCCCTTCTTCAGGGGATCTTTCTGACCTAGGGATTGAATCTGGGTCTCCTGCATTGCAGGCAGGTTCTTTACCATATGAGCCTCCAGGGAAGCCCTTTAGGAAACCAGGAAAAGTATATTTATTATTTTTCTGAATAATAAATTGGTGCCCTAGCAAGCAACAAAGGTGAATGATGAAACAATAAAGTTATAAAACTTTATTTTAGTATTAATATGTAATGATGGATTTTTATACATTTAATGTTTCAATCTTTTACTTGATTGAAGTAAAAGCCACATGGCATGTGGGATCCTGGCTGTCTAAACCAGAGGCTGAACCCGTGCCCCCTGCAGTGGAAGCCTGCGGTCTTAACCACTGGACCACCAGGGAAGTCCTGATCTTTTCCTTTTTTTTTTTGTTCAGTGTTCAGAGTGCCCCATCTTTGCCCCCTGGAATTCCCTTCAAGTTGGTTCCCGTGTCCTTTTGGCATGCCCCACTTGGCTTTGATAGCTTCCTTGTTTTCTAACATGACAGGATGTCACATGTTCATGGCCTGAATGCTACTGGGATTTTGAGACAGTAAAAATATTAAAAAGCTTTTCTTCAACAGCTGTTATATCGTTCTTATTTCTCCTTAAACTTATCTCTACTCAATTTCTTTTTTTTATTGAAGTATAGTTAATCTACAATACTGTGTTAATTTTAGGTATATAGCAAAAGTATTTGGTTTTCCATATATATATATATATATATATATATACACCTTCTAGGAAAGCATATATATGGAGGCCAAAGATCTGGAAATTGGTTTGCTTGAAACTCTCCACACTTGCATGCCCCTTGGAAAGTCTCCATGTACAGTCAGTTATTGGTACTCAGAGCCCTGACTTGAAGACTGTCAAGCCTCTCCCCTTTAACAGTGGACACTTGGAACCTACTGTGTGACAAACGCATTGACTGTGTGAAGTGGCTACTATTCTTAACCCCGTTTTACAGACGATGGAACTGATGCATAGAGAGCTTACATGACTTGTCCAGAATGTCACACCCAGTAAGTGGGCAGCAGGAAGGGAAACCCAGACACTGTGGCTCCAGTGCCCAGGCTCGTGACCACTGTGATTTTCAGTGCTTAAAAAAAAAAAAAAAGAAAAACAGTGGAAGAGCAGATCTAGGCATATGAGAGGAGAACTTCTGTTCATGTAAAATTGCTAATGGATGGGAAGCAAAAAAAATAATGTTTTTTTCAGTGTATCAGTGAATAAACTCTACATGTGCTAACAAAACATAAAGTAGTACCTTTTTCTGTACTCTGCTAAAATGCCATAGTACTTCATGTCAGTAAAATTAAAATTAACACATTTTTATTTCTTTAATTTCTAATTAACAATTTGTTCTCATTTAATTAGTAATGTGCTGTAATCTTATCTAAAAACCTCTTATAGTCTGCATATTCTACTTAACCAGTTAAAACATTCTACTTTTAGTGAGGATGACACTGTTTTTACAGTAATATTACAGAAGAAATTTTGCACTTAATAATGGTAATGATTTCACACTTACATAACTCTTTACACCTAAAAGCATCCAGAAATTGTTTCACATGAAAAAAAAGAAGCTATAAACATCACTAAAATGATTACCTCTTTTGGTAAAGATTGAGATTGTAATATTCCCATTTACTAAATAAAAGAAAATTATTGCTATATTTTAAGAGGTATTTTTGAGTAGTTCAGTGCAATTTTTTAAAAAGTAATTGATTTATGTAATAAACACACCAGAATACTCAGGAGATTTCATTCTGCAAGGTGATTTACTTTCTAATCATAAGAATATCTCTCATTTTTTCTTTCAACTGTTTTTGCTTCGTTCTCAGCGGTGGAAGTTTACATTGTTCTTAAAACTAGCAATCCTAGAAAACAGAGCACTACTTAATTTTTTCCATCTAAACTCTGACTTAGCAACCCCTGTGTCTGGGGAAGGTACTTTTGATTGTCTAGCCTTGGACACACTCACTTCTAGGAAAGCATGGCCACATAATTCCCAACAGAATCAACAGGAAGGTAGCTTCCAAAAAAGGAAAGAGAAAAGGCAAAAAAAAAAAAAAAAAAAAGGCATTGTGGTGTACTTTTCAATAACATATGCCTCATGTTGTTTGTGTAGTTAGCGATGTGTTCAGTTCAGTTCAGTTCAGTCGCTCAGGTGTGTCCAACTCTGGTTCATTGCGACCCAATGAACCACAGCACACCAGGCCCCCCTGTCCATCACCAACTCCCAGAGTTTACCCAAACTCATGTCCATTGTGGAGAAGGAAATGGCAACCCACTCCAGTACTCTTGCCTAGAGAATTCCGTGGACAGAGGAGCTTGGTGGGCTGCTGTCCATGTGATCACACAGAGTTGGACACAACTGAAGCAACTTAGCATGTATACAGGCGTTGGAGAAGGAAATGGCAACCCACTCCAGTATTCTTGCCTGGTGCGGGGAGCCAGCCTGACTGCTCAGGCTCCTTCTTGGCTCTGAGAGAGATCAAGAGGTCCCTCTCTGTCCCGCCACCCCTGATTTATTAAAGCACAGGTTGGCCTTTCTCACCTCCCTCAAGGAAATTGCTGTAGCACATATGCAAACCTTTAATCTATTAGCAACTCCTGTTAGCATATATATAGGTGTGGTATTCTTCAATAAAGNTTTCACTTTCATCAAGAGGCTCTTTAGTTCTTCTTCACTTTCTGCCATGAGGGTGGTGTCACCTGCATATCTGAGGTTATTGATATTTTTCCTGGCAATCTTGATTCCAACTTGTGCTTCCTCCAGCCCAGCATTTCTCATGATGTACTCTGCATATAAGTTAAATAAGCAGGGTGACAATATACAGCCCTGACTTACTCCTTTCCTGATTTGGAACCAGTCTGTTGTTCGATGTTCAGTTCTAACTCGATGTTCAGTTCTAACATCTAACTGATGTTCAGTTCAGTTGCTTCTTGACCTGCATACAGCTTTTTCAAGAGGCAGGTCAGGTGGTCTGGTATTCCCATCTCTTCCAGAATTTTCCACAGTTTATTATGATCCACACAGTCAAAGGCTTTAGCGTAGTCAATAAAGCAGAAATAGACGTTTTTCTGGAACTCTTTTGCTTTTTCAGTGATCCAGTGGACGTTGGCAATTTGATCTCTGGTTCTTCTAGCGATGTTTTAGCAAATAGCAAAATTAAAATACTTTGCAAAAAGTTATCATTTTTTCTTAAATAGTATTGTACTTATCAAAGACTTAAATTCATATTTTTGTCTTCCTTTAGGGTCTCATCTCTGCTCATTTCTAATGAGATTTCACATTTAGCAACCACTACATGATGGGAAGTAAATTGTGATTAGTGCCCAGCCTCAATTAATAATCCAGGAGGATTTTACACTTTTAAATTAAATGACATTCTTCCTCAGTTTGAGCTGAAAATGACAGAAGACCACAAAGTTCTACTTTCTCAGTCTCCTTTATCACCCTTGACTAAAGTCACAGACATATCACAGCAAAGCAATCCTGAAGACACCTTCAATGGGGATACCATTCAGTCAACTTACAAATACATTTCAAGTGCCTTACCAAGGTAAGAAGCAGCAACTTAAACTTTTTTATTATTCATTATTTCAGCAACTTAAACAATTCTGATGGAGATAAAAGTGCTTTAAAAGGTTAGCTCTTTTATGTAAATTCTCAGTATTTAGTAAAGACTGTATCAGTAAAAATTTGGAGATGTGATGGGCTGCCAAGGTTGTTGCCTAGGTTAGAACCCTTCCTTTTTTCTTTTCTGTTTTATGGGAATAAAAAAGATAGATGACTCAATAAACATAAATTATTCCTAGAGCCTGACTTGGACAGGTAGGATAGTGATGATAACAGTAATGGCAAGGGGCAGTATTTGCTATTTGCCAGTCACCATGCTAAGTGCTTAACCTGTATTACATTTATTTAGTTCTCAAAACAACTTTGAGAGGAATGTAAAGCAGACAGTGTTTTAGTCATCTCCATTTTACATATGAGGAAACAGAGACCTAGAGAGGTTAATTAATATCACAGAGCTGGTAGGTAAAGAAAGTGTGTTAGTTGCTCAGTCCTGTCTGATTCTTTGCAACCCCATGGACTATAGCCTGCCAGCCTCCTCTGTTCATGGGATTCTCCAGACAGGAATACTGGAGTGGGTTGCCATTTCCTTCTCCAGGGGATCTTCCTGACTCGGGGATTGGACCCAGGTCTCCCTCATTGCAGGCAGACTCTTTACAGTCTGAGCCACCAGGGTAAGTAGAGAAGGTAAAGTTTGAACCCAGATCGTTCTAACTCCACAGATAAAACTCTTAACTACTATACTCTACCACACTTCTCAGAAATATAGAGCAGAGGAGACAGAATTATTTTTCCTGTGTTTTTTTCTCAATTAGAAAGTAAAAGAACAGAGACTTTCCTGGTAGTCCAGCAGCTAAGACTCCATGCTCCCAGTGCAAGGGGCTTGAGTTCAATCCCTGGTCAGGGAACTAGATCCCACCTGCTGCAAGTTAGGAAAAAAAGGTCCCACCATAAATAAGACCTGGTGCAGCCAAATAAATAAATATTAAAAAAAGAAAAAAGAAAGTGAAAGAACAAAAAAGTGTCTGTCAGTTATTGATAAACTGTTGTCTGGCTAAATGTGATGCCATAGTTTTTATGTTTAAAAGGAAATGTAGATTATAAAAATATTGAAAAAGTATTCTTAAATTAGGGATTGTGTTAATCTCCTTAGATATGGTAGCTCCTATTTATATCTTTGAAGAGTTTGATTTTTTTTTTAATATGTCACTGTTTTTAGGTGAAAGTGAAATATAGATTTTCAGCTAACCTTTGTTTTTCCCTATTCCTCTAAGGTATGAGTGCATGTTAGCAATGTATGAGATCACTGACACAGTGTGCTAGCTACATGGCTAGATCATTTTTAGGAAATCATTACCCAGTGGTTATATTGTAGAGACATAATTTTCTCATGATAGTGTTCCTCCCTATAAGACAATGGAAAAAATTTCTAAATAGGATTTTTAAGCAATCCTTTATACAACTGCCAATGCTAATGTGTGTTTGCACATTTTTAAATTGCCTTTAGAATTTACTTTTACTAAGTTTCCTTTCCAAAATAGTAATAGGTTTACTTTTTTTTCTGTCTTTTGTGATATCTTTTATACAGCTTGTAATTTTATTTATTCAGTTTCTTTCTGTTCTTTGTCTGAGTCTCTAACTTTTGTTTTACTTGCCCTTTTTCTTTTAATGTGCCAGTCTTTGTTTTTCGTATTATACTTTTCCTACCACCCTCTTTTTTATAGTTTGTTTCATTGTACTTCTATTTCTTTGTTTGGATCCTAACTTCTTTTCTTTCACCATTGTCTGTTACCATCAACTTTGAATATGATATACCTAGAAAATGAAGTAATCTCTTCTTGACAGTTGAATAGAAAGTCAAAAGACAATGCCCTGAGGCCCTTTACTTTTATGAAAAAGAAAATGATGAGTTTCAACCTGAAGGGTCAAGTTCGTAAAGGCTAGTGGTAATCTAAGATCCATTGGCATTAATATGATTATCAGAGAGGCAATTTTCTCTATGAGTAAAGATGTTTCCTCCCTGATTGAGGTTAAAACTTCTCTTGTCTCATCCCTTTTTCCCTTGCCACCTTTATTCCACCATCTTTTTGATCTTTTTTTTTTTCATTTATTTTTATTATCATCTTTTTTATCTTTTATGAGAAATAATTATTAAAGTATAGTCAGTTTGTTGTTCCTTTACTTATATAAAAGAGACTGTGCTATTCTTCACTATTTAACACATTGTATATTTTTACAAAACCTGTCCACATTAAATCCATTCTTTGTAACCATGCAGTGATGAATCACATTATTCTCATGTTATTATCTGTGGTATTAATTTACTTTTTATTACATTTACCTTATCCTTCTTTTCTTTCTTTCTTGTGTTCTTACAGTGGTTTGCCTGTCACTCTATGTTATATTTGTTTTTAACAAAGGAAAAACTGCTGTGCCAGGAGCCTTCCCCCCAAAAGGAAAACTAATCATCAGTAGTGTGAGTTCAGTGTATCATGCCCAAGAAGGACTGATCCTCCCATTTTATGACTTGCCACCAAAAGATCAGATGACTGGAGAAGTATAGCTTCGTTCTTGTGGTTACTTCAAGGAAAGCAAATGATAGGGAACTTCTCCTACCCAGCTGTAGTCTGATGCATTCCCAGGTGACCTGAAACAGGGTATCAACCTTTGAAGCATGAAGCATAATCAATTATTTATTGGTAATAGGTATCTAGGGGGAGTTCTGCTATATTTGTGGAAGGTGTCTCTGAATGCTAAAAATGGACAATTTCCAAATTAAAATTGCATTTTTAAAAAGATATTTTTTATGTAGACCATTTTTAAAGTCTTCATTGAATTAGTTTATGGTATTGCTTCTGTTTTATGTCTTGGTGTTTTGGCTGTGAGGCTTGTGGGATCTTAACTCCCCAACCAAGGATTTAACCTGCACCCTCTGCACTAGAAAGTGAAGTCTTAAAAACTGGACTGCCAGGGAAGTCCCAAAATTTTATATCACAAAACTAACAGAATGTTCTGGACAGTTAGTATCTCTTTCTATCCCACGTATATTTTAATAATATTTAGCTGATGATCATCTAAGAATGTAATTTCATGATTATTATAGCAGAATGTTATAGTGTCCGCTTGCAGCTGAGTGTAATATCAACTCTTAGTTCCCCAGAGGACAAATTATTGTTAGTATATTATATTAGGACTTAAATAAATTTTAAAAGTGAATCGCCAACATCTTTTTATTATAGATTATCTGGTTGCTGATTCACAGACAAATCTTGCTTTCGAGGAGACTAACAGTGCTTAATCTAGTCACTCACTTTTTTTTTTTTTGTATCATTTTAGTTATCTTGGCTATTTTGAATTGGAATGAGTCTTAGGCTCTTTTCGAAATATAAGTATTTGGTTATATCACCTTTTCTAGGGACAGTTTAAGTTTAGTAATCTCATAATTCCAAAGATGAGCTATTAGTTCCCACAATGGGATGAGCAGCAGAGTGAGGGGAAGGAAGCAGTAAGGAGTTAATGAAGCAAGCCAACACCTCCACTGTTTGCAACCTCCATTGCCCAACAAATTGCACTTTTCCTAATTCAAAACTTTTGTCAGATTTTTCCTTAAAGTCTTAAAAAAAGAAAACTCTGCAGATCCAAACATTAATATATTGCTGGTGGTGGTGGTTTAGTCGCTCAGTCGTGTTCAACTCTTGCAACCCCATAGACTGTAGCCCACCAGGTTCCTCCGTCCATGGGATTCTCCAGGCAAGAATACTGGAGTGGGTTGCCATTTCCTTCTCCAGGGGATCTTCCCAACCTAGGAATCGAACCCAGGTCTCCTGCATTGCTGGCAGATTCTTTACTGACTGAGCTATAGTTTAAAAATGTTGACGATATCATTTCTTTTTGAAAATTTGCATTTCCTCTGGAAAATCCTTATATTTCTATAATCGCCCCCAATTTTAGGTTTAAGATGTACCTTATTTTTATTTGTACTTCTGCACAAGCAGAACTAATATTCATTTTTTCTTTTGAGTGGGATAATTTATGCCCTGATCCTGTACTCAGATGAGTCCTTTACAAATTGTATAAATTGTTTTTTTTTTTTACATTTCCTTCTACAAAAGCAAGAAAGTTCAACTTAACAAACATTGAATATCTCCTTTAGGGTACATGTGTAATTTGAGCATAATACATTAGTTATTATTTAGTAATTGAGCTACAAATAAAAGTTGGGCTTATTGTGTTATAAAATAATTGAAAATTGCTCTGCAATCAAGGTATCTTTACCAATATTCCTAGGTCAAACTAGAATTATATTTTCTTCTGGTATTCAAAATAAAATTTGGGAGAAATTATTCATATTTATTATTGCCACTTTCTATTATTCACTTTCCATGATATTTAAATTACATTTTACCTAGTAATTGTAGAAAGGTGTTTATGTCTTTAGAGGTTATTTGTTTCTTCAGTTGGGGGAAAGGTAGAATGACAAGTAATGAAGTCTTTGTGGTTTGTGTACTGCAGATTTTGTATAAGTTTCCATGCGCCAAACATATATGGGGTTATTTCTTTTATCTGTTGCATCCAGTATTTTAAGTTGGTGATTTCTTATTAAATTTATTTAAGGTCATTTTCCTTTATGTTTACATTTTCTTATTTGTATTTATTCCAATTGGAGAGTTTAATTACGGTTAAAATGGTAATAGGATAAAGACAAGTTTTACAAATGACAATATTAAAATAAAACCATAACTCTTCCGGAAGGTTTAAATGCCATAGGAATATAAAGCGAGAAATATATGCTTGTCAAATATACAGTATAAATAAATAATTTAGATGAAAATGGTTGACTACATTTAACAAAGAGACTACCAAATAATGAGGGGCTAAAGAGTGGTTGTTAGATTTGATGTACTTCATTGTACATTGTAAGTAATTGCTATCCATAAAAATTCTATGGCTTCTGTATAAGAAAAAGAGACATTTTGACAGGCAACA